TTCAGTGTTTACTTCAGCTGAGAAACAGTAAGAAGAGAGACATATTGATGGTAGAGGGATGTTCAAAACACTGTCAGGCCTGACCTCTGACCTCTTGGTCTTTATTTGCTCATTGCTTTCTTTGCAGTATTTCAGGGATCGCCCAAATTCTCAGACGTTCGAAGCCAAGTCAAGCATACAGTCCCATGAAGATTCAAAATGGCTGAGCCAAAGTAATACTCTGCTACCAGTGAATCAAACTGCTTTTACCTGCTGCTAATGCTGGAACTTGTACACTGAAGCAGCTAGTGGAGTAAATGTACCTGAGTAGATGTGGTCCTTCTCCCCATCTGTGTCTGCTATATTTATCTCTGTCTGCCTGTAGATCCCTCTGTGCCTGCATGCCTCCCTACTCCCGTCTCCTAAACTGAAAGCTAATGAATTAACACCCACAAGGAGTTCTTAAGTACTTCATCAACAGCGTACTTCCTTATTCACTTCTACCAAAGGGGTTTTTCAGGCCTAAAGTTTAACTGGACTATCTTCTGTCATCATTTAAGGGGAGTCGAAAATAATGCTTTCCCACCTCTGCGCGTCTTTTCGCTTTCCAGTGTTGTCATTGGACAGAAGTTAGCCCACGCTCGCTTGCATTTGTCATTGTCACTATGTCCGCCTGTCACTGTTAGCTGGTCTATTTGCCATTCTGTCCTTCAGTCCATCTTAACTGCCAGCTCACAACTCCATCTTCCTGCTGTCCACCTGTCATGTTTCCATGTTATTGCTTAACATGCTTTTTAAAATCCTGGACTCCTGTATAGGGCTTTTAAACATACTGTATGTATTCAGCAGTTTGATGTGTTTTGTTGAATGGGTCAAACCATGTATGATCATATAATCACCAAACAAATGTAGACTGCATATAAGAAGTGAACGTATCACTGTGACGTCACCATGGTTTGTGTCGTTTTTCAGCTACAAAGTTTGGCATTTTTGGCCATCGCCACCTTGGCTCTTTGCAACCGGAAGTGACAGAAGAGGGTTAACGCTAAATAAGACATTTTTAGGCAAATAAAAAGGTTACAATTAACTTTCATGAACTGAAAACACACTCTGAAAGGGTTAAAGTTGGAAAACACAACAATTCTTGGACCGGACAACGGCGGCGTGTTAGCAACCATAGACTGCAAATAAGAAGAGGACATGGCCTGCGGTTTTAAAGCCTTTAATTCGACATTTTGGCTGTCGCCATCTTGGATTGTGACTGTTACAATCTAGGACTTTTGCAACAAGTAAACGGAGGTGACCATATTTGGACTGCAGAGGAGTGACGCCATGGCAGTGGCGGGCCGTGCATTTTATACCTGGGCCTTCACTGCTGTCCTGCAGCTGAAACACAGCTACAGTTATTATTTCTTTCGTGTAAAAATGAAGCTCAACACCTGTAGATAGAGTGCGTCTCCTCTCTGCTCTGACTGCAGCTGGGACTGCTGAGCGAGGCCTCTGTGGGCGGCGGCAGCGGAGGTGCTCACGGCAGCACCCGCTGCTCGTTCACGACAGTGCAGAACGTACGTGCTTTAATAATATCCCCACGATAGTCCCCCCTTCCAGTCTTCACTGGATCGAGAAGGACTTCTTACTGGAACTAAAACGCACAGATGTACTGAACAACCGTGGGATTAAACTCTTTATTAACAAAGAAAGGAGGATGGGCTTTGTCTTTAAATAGTGAACAGCAGCTCTGGTAAGTTAAATGCGTTTGTTTGTACATCTGCAGTAGCTTTAATATGCTTGTTTATATATTATTATTTGTACAACTTGTTTTTATGATGATTTTTGTTTGGTTTAATATGTGATAGGAACCATTGTTACGTCCAATGTTGCTCTGGGCACATATTTAGCAGGTGCCAGTGTTGGCAACTTGTCGACTTTCCAAACCCTCATGGCGACTTTTTTTGTCAAAAGCTACTAGTGACAAATCTAGCGACTTGTTCTGGTGTTATTGGAGAATTTTCTGGTGTTTCGAACTTAATGCAGCCAGAGACACAGACGGAGTCAATTGGGCTTTTAATAGAGCGGGCTCCTCTTCCTCTGTATGGATAAATAATACAGCAGTCAGCAAATCTGGATCTTAATAGATGATATTGACCTTTTTGGGGGGCAGGGTGGGAAAGGGGGAGAGAGAGGGACAGTAGGAGCGGAAACGGAGAGAGACGAGAGGGTGTAAATCCGGGAGCTGAGCTGCTAAGGGAAGTGTCAATAGAAGCGGAGCGCTCAGACAAAACATCTTAATCCGAGTGCGAAAAGCGGTGATCAATCACGGAGATGACGACGTGGTATCTAGAGCCGGAGAGGCCCTGACCTCAGACGGGATCCCCCGAGTGTCCCAGTGGGACGTCCACCACATAAATCAATAACAAAACGAAATCGATCATTTCCACGTTATTATAGCTCCGTACCATTCATATTTAGCTCAGATGTCGGTAGAAGTGTACGTGCTTAACATCACACGTTCTCTCAGATGTTTTTCATCATAACCAGTGAGGGTCAGGAAAGAGTCACGCTGTGCTCTAACCTGAGCTGGTAACGTGCCACTCAGACTCCCTAGTACTTTTCCAAAAGAGAAGTCAGCCCTCTGTCAGAGGGGACTTCTCACCGTATCCAGGAAGTGACGGTGGGGACTTAATGGGGTCCAAACAAGCCGAGGGAGGTCGTCCCGTCTCTACAAAAGAAGTTGGGTGGAAGAGGAGCTCCGTCGCGCGAGCGAGCGACCGATAGAAGTACACAGGAAGTTAAGGGATTAAGCCTTCAAATTAAGAGCATGCGAAGTGGGTAGTGGGAAAACAAATGTAGCCTATGTATCATATGAGCTATCAGCAGATACACACTTCCACTTGTATAGGTTTCCTCACAATGTTAAGAAAATGCACAAAGGCTAATATTCCGATGAACACTGATATTTGGTGATTTGCTCATGGCTGAGGGCCCCCGAGATACATAACAGAAGCTATGGGTCCCCACTGAACCCCCATTCCTTCCCACTTCATGTTGAATGTTGCAGTGTTTTCTCTGCAATAATTCCACATGACGCCAGACCTGCTCTCAGCTAATTTGATTTAACTTGCTCATTCATGAATATTCAACACACACAAGAGTGACATAATGGAGGTCTTTAACACCACTGTCAAGATCGGGTAATAAAGCAGGACCCCATTAGCTGTCAGTTCAGTTATTGTGCTTAAGTGCTACATAATCATAAACCTTTTTTTTTTTCAATGAACCAGAACAAACCAGTTGATAGACGGTATCAATAGTACTGGACCTTACTGGGCGCCTGAAGTTGTGGGGCCCCGGGTAAGTTGTCTGCTTTTAAGCCATCGCAATGCTCGATGTTACTTAATAGATGTACAGGTAGAACATGGTAGGCTAACACTGGAACAGAATACTTCTTACCAATATGACTTTTCATTTTAAGTATGTACTATCCTCAGTGATGATATTTCTTTGTCAGATATTTGGTTTAAGTTTTAGATAATAATAATAATAATAATAATAACAATAATAACAATAAAAAAACAGCTCAAACAAGCGAAAGACTAAAACAAGCTGGACATATATTACGTATCCCATTTAAGTAACGCCCCTCAAATTGTTTGGGTTACTTAAATTGCTGCAAAGAATTCTCAACTCGCGTTTTATTTTGAAAACCTACACCGGAACCCATGTGTGTCGCTGTGTCTCTTTTCTCTTCTCTCTCGCGGTGGGAAGGTGGTCCTGGGCGACAAAAAAATCGCCAGACGGGAAAACTTTTTCATGTTTTTAATGCAGACCCTTCATCTCAATGACAAAACCACGGCACTTCCGGAATTGACACAACATATCGGCAACAACTGAAGCGACGGCTTTGACTTGTTTGTCTTCGGGAATAAAGTTGTGAAACTCCGAGGTGAAAGCGGAGAGCCCAGCTGAGTGAGAGTGGGGTGAGGAGGCTGGATTTGGCAAAAGTTGGGAGTTCCTGCCCTGCTGCTAGCATGCTAGTTAGCATTGCTCAGACACTGCGCTGTGTCGGATAACTAATGAGGTGAGATTGTCAGCCGCTTGTACTCTTGTAATGTCGGAGTTATTTGTGTACGTTTTTAGAGACTGTCCTGACGTCACACACTGTTTCCGAAAAATAACGGTTCAATGAGTTTTGGGCTAAAGAAAAAGCATTGACATGAGTGGGGCCCGGCCATTTTTTTTAATTTTTTTTTTATTTCACCCAAATTTAAATGCAGTTGTCCATTAATTGTTGTGTCGTGGTATCTTCAGCGTGTAAAGTATGTTTTTTAGGGATGTTTCCCGTTAATTTTCCTGTTGCTATAACTGAGAAAAAAAAAAGTAAAGTAAGTTGTTAAAACATTTTGTCCTGACAACTTTCAACAATATATATCAAGCACAGTTCCAACATTTGATACCCGGATATAAGTGACCATCTGTGACAGCGCAGCTATTTCTTACGATGGCAAAGCTCTCGCTTGTTTTCTTGGCCATTTCTAAACATGTCTGGATAGCTGTAATCATATTTTGGCTGACAGTTTCACAATATGGCCCTCAGCACGCAACTTCTACACAAAAAATTGTGTGTGTGTGACTTCAGTGCTAAAATTATCAATGTTTAGATTGCTCTTCTGCCATCAGTGATTGGCCTAATTGAAATCTGCTCCTGTCACGTCAGCATTGGGAATAACACTCGTGCCCGTGTGTGTGTGTGTGTGTGTGTGTGTGTGTGTGTGTGTGTGAGAGAGCCCAACCACAGTCACTCAAGATTCATGTTGCATTGTGTGTTCTGCATTTCAGAGTTTCCCTCCGCTGTTCTCCTGCCTGCTGTTCTAGAGGGGAGCTGCTTTATCTGTGGCAAGACCGCTGCTGAC